CACTGTCCCTCAGCTCTTCAGCTCAAGGCTAGCACTCTACCACTTGAGCCACAGTGCCACTTCCGGCTTTTTTCTTATGTGGTGCTGAGGAATTGAACCCAGGGCCTCAGGCATGCAAGGCAAGTGCTCTACCACTGAGCCACCTTCCCAGCCCCTGTCCCTGAGTTCTTTTGCACAAAGCTAGCACTCTACCACTTGAGCTACACCACCACTTCGAGCTTTTCCTGAGTAGTTTATTGGGGATAAGCCTCACAAACTTTCCTGCCTAGGCTGGACTTGGAACTGCAATCCTCAGATCTCAGCTTCCCAAGTAGCTAGGATTACAGGCATGAGCTGCCAGCACCTGGCTTCCCAGCCTTTTTTTTTTTTGCTGGTCTTGGGGCTTGAACTCTGGGCCTGGGCGCTGTCCTTCAGCTCTTCAGTTCAAGGCTAGCGCTCTACCACTTGAGCCACTGCGCCACTTCCAGTTTTCTGAGTGGCTTATTGGAGTCTGAGTTTCCTGGGCTGGCTTTTGAACCACAATCCTCAGATCTCAGCCTCCTGAGTAGCTAGAATTACAGGCGTGAGCCACCAGTGCCCGGTCCTAGCATAGTGTATGTTCAATTTCCATGGAAGTAAATTAACCACGTACAGTGAATGAATCCTTACTTACTAAGCTGGCTCTTCTCTATCCACATTAAGCCTTTGTCCCAAGTCTCTTTGTATGCCTACCTACAGAAAAAGCCAAATTGATCTTAAGAATATTTTTGTTTCTGGACACCATGTGTTGACTAGCTAGTAGGTAACAACTCTACTCCTCATGCCTACTAATCCTTCCATCCACAAGCTTAGACCTGTCTTCTGTGGCCCATTTCCCATGTAGGAAAGAAAAATGTCAAGTGTCTGAGCACCCATATGCTCACACGCATTGTACTAACCAAGCATGGGCATTACCTCCAATAAAGTTTTGTATTCATATTTTGGGATATTTTCTGCACTTAAAAGTGTTTTAAGTTGGGGGCTAGGAAAGTGGCTCAGTGGTAGAGTGCTTGCCTTGCGTGCATGAGGCCCTGGGTTTGATCCCTCAGCACCACATAAGCAGAAAAAGCTGGAAGTGGAGTTGTGGCTCAAGTGGTAAGAGTGCTATCCTTGAGCTGAAGAGCTGAGGGACAGCGCCCAGGCCCCAGAGTTCAGGCACCACAACTGACAAAAAGTTTTAAGTTTCACCATGCGTCATAGAAAAGACTCATACAGCCAGAAGAAACAGGCCACATCCTAAGAATACATAACTATTGTTTTATTACATCCTGTGAATATGTAACCAACACTTTATTACATCCTTTGTTACATCCTAAGGCTGCATAAATAACATTACATCCGAAGAGTACGTAACACTGCATTTGTTTTAGTGCTTCCTAATAAGGTATGAATGAACAATTCCTACTAGGGAATGAAGCTTCCTTTGGGATTACTTTGAAGTGGGTTTCTTATTTTTGGGTGGCTTCCTAACCTTATTAGGGTTAGGAATGAGTTTCTTCACTTTAAGGGGCTGCAAGGCGACACAGAAAGCCTCCCTCCCTTCCACAGATTTTCTCTTGCATTTTCCCAGGTCTTCAGATGAAGTTTCCAAACTCTCTTTGTATTGATTTTCTGAGGATTCGGTGTCACCATCTTCAGCAGCTCCGAGTCTGTCCGGCAACCATGGGACGTACAAGCTGGGCACCCTGGGGAGGATGGCTTTCACTTGCTCAGCGAAGTCGGCAGTGTTTTTCTTGAACCCCAAGGCCAGCAGGCATTTTAATCCCAAGGCGGGGGCCAATCTTTCACTGAGCCGGGGAACCTGACAGGCGGGAACGTCTCTGCTTAAGCTCAACTGGACCAAGTGGGAAGTAATGACGGCGGGTTTGACAGACTTGCACACCAGGACCAGGAGCAGCTCACCCCTTTCCAGGGCCTTGGTGACCTCGTTGACGCCAATAGCCAGTTGCCTCCTGATGTGCAAGGGTGACCACCCGGACACCTGCTGGCCAGCCTCAGGCTTCTCCTTGGGACCCTCACTTCCATCAACCCCTGAGCTGCATCTTTCTCTGCTCTGCTTCCTCCTTTTCTTGTGGTCCTCAACTTTCTGAAGTCCAACAGACACAAATCTGTCTTCGATAGTCTGCAGTATGAAGTACATGTCCTCTCTCTGCAGGGTGCTCCAGCAGATGGCGTACGGGTTGTTCAAGGATGTCTTCACCACCAGTGGTCTCGCCTTGCGCACAGATCCCCGCTGGGGTGCTTGAGGTGCCTCAGCCATCTTGAAAACCTTTCACAGGGAAGAAAAGTGAGCACAGGACAGCCCTATTAGCCTTGAGAGTGCCTGAGGAATCCAGAGCCAATGGAGGGAAGCACTCACTTCACTTCTCTCATTTGCTTCCTTTTATTGTTAGTGCAATGTGGTCTTCATGTTCAGGCAATGTGGGTATGTGTATTACTGCCTTTGTAATGAAACTTATGTGCTCATCCACTTCTGGCTGGGAATATGGCTCAAAGTGGCTAAGGTGCTTATCAACCAAGTGTGAGGCCCTGAGTTCAAAACCCAATACTGCCCCAAAATACATATATTCTCTACTTGCTCCTTACCTTTTTCTTTGCACTGTTGAGGATTGAGCCCACGGCCTTGGATATGACACACAAGTATTCTTCCACTGAGCTACACCCCTCGCCCCATGCAAAATGAATTAAGCTTATAGGTTTGGCATTTCTAAATTGCTTTCTAGTTCAGCTTAGTTCATTCAGCAAACATGCACGGAGCACCTCTAAGGGTGCAGCATATCCTACATCTGTTGGTAAATAAGACCCTACATATGCCAGCAGACCTTGTCACCTGTAAAGCACATGGAACTCCTAACTGATCATGGGGCTTGAACTCAGCCTGGGCACGGTCGGTCCCTCAGCTCTTCAGCTCAAGGCACTTGAACCACAAAGCCACTTCCAGTTTTCTGGTGGTTTACTGAAGATAAGAGTCTCACAGACTTTCCAGCCCAAGCTGGCTTTAAACCACGATCCTCAGATCTCAGCCATCTGAGTAGCTAGGATTACAGGCGTGAGCCATCAGCGCCTGACTTCAGAGTCAGCTTTTAAGAGCTAAGTACTCTAAACATTTGCTATACATGCAGGCATATTCTCTCATTGTATTCTCTCTCAACTAGCTAAGTGGCTGCCAATCTCATGAAAACCAGGGAAACGGAATGCAGTCCTTACAGGGGAACTTTTTTTTGTTTTTGTCGGCCGTGGGGCTTGAACCCTGGGCCTGGGCACTGTCCCTTCAGCTCTTCAGCTCAAGGCTTGCGCTCTACCACTTGAGCTACAGCACCACTTCCAAGGGGAACTATTATAGACCTCAGGTCTAAGGAACATATTCTGTTCATCCTCCTCCAAAGCAACTGCACATTCCTTTTTCTTCTCACTGTTTTCTTCCTTCCCTTCTTCCTAGGCTGAGAATGATTCACAGAGCCCTACTTGGCAATGTTCCTCTGCTGAGAAGCTCCAGACAAGACTCTGCTGCTGAAAAGCTAGCTAGCAGTGGAGTGGCTCTGAGCATGTATACTTCCTATGGGAACTGTTTTTTCTTTGCATGTAGTACTTGATTCTCTTTAACATTTCTATAGAATTCCCTAGTGTAAATGAGGAAATAACCCACTGCCCAAAGTCACTATTTTTGAGGGTTTTTTGGTTGGGGGGCTGGTTGAGGTTCGCAATTGCAGGGCTTGAACTCAGGACCTGGCCGCTGTCCCTGAGCTCTTTTGCTCAAGGCTAGTGCTCTACCGCTTTTAAGCCACAGCATTGCTTCTGGTTTTTTATTGCAACTTTGAACTGTGGATCCTCAGATATAAGCCTCCTAAGTAGCTAGGATTACAGGCATGAGCCATCAACCCCTGGCTTTTTTTCTTTCTCTTTCAGTCAGAGCTGTACCCCAACATTAACCTGTAGCTTCTGAAAATAGAGGGCTGTACCCCAACATTAACCTGTGGCTTCTGAAAATAGAGGGCTAAGGACATGGCTCAAGTGGCAGAGCTTCTGCCTAACAAGCACAAGGCACTGAGCTCAAAACTCCAGTACCCTGAGCAAAATCAAACCATACTGATGGTTGGTTCTCACCCCAGTGCTATGAACCAGAATATCTATAAGTATGGCCAAGTTATCTGGGATCATAAAAAGCTATCTGAATAACTTTTTACCACAAAGGGGTGGAGGCGTGGAAAGTCTGATATCACCTGGTCGCTGATCCTCCTGATCACCTTCCCATAGAAAACTTATCCTGGGGTGAGAGGTAAGAGGTAGTACTGGTCAAGTAAGTGCTGCCCACACAGCTGGAGACATCTACCAGAGCAGCTTCCTTTGATGCTGCCCCCTGGCAAGCCCTGCCCCATCTCAATAGCTCCTGCTCCCCTCAAGCTCAGGAAATCATCCAGAAACAAGGCAAGCTGCCCCTAGCAGCTGCCACCAGACTGTAAGAGACCAGGCACACAGGGGAAGAAGTGATGGGGAGCAAAACAAAATAGCCAGTGTTCTGGCCAGTCTGCAGGTCAGTTACTATGTTTCACCACCCAATCGGCATGCATGCAATAAATACTTACAATGGGTGTGCTCCGGAGCAGAGAAACAGCAAGAAAGGAATTAACTTTTCTGCTCTCTAAAATCTGGTGAGATAAAAGAATCAAAAAAGGTGGGAAAGCAGAAGCTCATGAACTATATAATACAATAAAAAGTACTGTTAAGAATAGCTTCAGCAGGGTACTAGTAGTTCATGCTTGTAAACCCTAGGTACTTAGGAGGCTTAGATATGAAGAACTTTGCTTCAAAGCTAGCCTAGACAGAAAAGTCTGCAAGTCTTCACCTCTAACCATCAAAAAGCAGGTTCAGAGGTATGGTCATACCTCTGGTATGGTATGGTAGAATGCCAAGACCAAGGCAAGGTATGTTTAGAGCTTAGTGTGGAAGCCTCTACTGGCTCTCGACATGCTGGCCCCATTTTCTACCAGCCTTTCTCCTTTCACACAAATTACACCCAGCTTTGGGCCTGTAGTATTTAACAAGGTCCCAGCTTCTCATCCCTGTGACTTTTTTTTGGGGGGGAGGGGGTGGAGGGTCAGTTGTGGGGCTTGAACTCTGGGCTTGGATGCTATCCTTGTGCTCTTCAGCTCAAGGCTAGATCTCTACCACTTGTGCACAGGGCCACTTCCGGTTTTCTAGTGGTTTATTGGAGATAAGAGTCTCACAGACTTTCCTGCCCGGGCTGGCTTTGAACTGTGATCCTCAGATCTCAGTCTCCTGAGCAGCTAGGATTATAGGCATGAGCCACCAGCGCCTGGCTATCCCTGTGTCTTTCTATCTTATTTCCTCTCCCTAGAATACTACACTTACCCTCGTTATCACACCACTCTTACTCATCAACAAGTATTTATGGATTATGAATGATGCATCAGGCCACAGTGTATTGAAAATGTTGGGCAAAACCAACTCACTGATCTCAGTGAGCATGGAGTCCATGAAGGCCTATCAACAGGTAAAACAATCAAAGATGCTGGGTTATAGGTGGCCTATGCCTATGATCCTAGCTACTTAGGAGTCTGAGAACCAGATGATCACAGTTCCAAGTCTGATGTTCCTGACACTGCCCAACACATAGCTGTCAGTCATCCTAAGATTAGGACTACCAAGCCACCCTGGGCAGAAAAGTGGGAGATGCCTACAGAGGGAAGTTGGACAGGGTGACTCACCTGTGATTCAGGGAAGAGAGTAAACGGAAAAGGTGGATTGGGGGTGAGACCCAAGCCCAAGCTTGGGGAAGGGAGACCCTAATCCTAAAAATTGCCAAAGGAAAACAAGGCTGGAAGCTTGCTGAAGATATCCGTGCCAGGTTAAGCCAGCATGAAGCCTGGGGGTCAAACCCAAATACTGCATTACAAGACGCCTTAGGGATGACAACGCCAGGGCCTAATTTAGGGCGTCGGGATAGGGAGGCCTTGAAGAAGCGATTTTGTAACTGCCTACCAAGGAGACTGTAACGCAGGGGGTGGGGGGCAGAATGAGAGGTGCTAACTAACCAATGTTGCTAGGGCAGAGCGCGAGCCTAAGAAACAGGCGAAGACATCCAGGCTGGTATTGACGCTGGCGAGGCTGCAGAGGATGCGATGGCGACGTCTAAGGCAAAGGTGTGGCAGGATTAGGAAGATGGAGCACAAAGGCAAGGCATTCTGCATGAGATTTAGCAGCACAGATCGATGTCCCCGGAGTAGTTCGGGTACGGAAGGGAAGTGGGAGACGGGGAGAAGACTAGAGGCGAATGCATCGGGTCCTGCGTTAGGAGGCAGGGCGGCTGCGGAGAGAGCAGGCCCAGAAGGAGCGGCTTCGCGCGACGATCGCCGGAGGCAGCATTCCCGGTCTGGGGTTAATTCCCTCCCTGTGCTCGGCCCACCCGGAGCAAGATCCCTTCCATCCCCTCCTATCCCCCCTACCCCGCCCCCCCAGCCTACCTGGGCGCCCACCACGAGCTCACGACCCGGGAGCCACAGCCGGAACCAGCATCTGCGCAGGACCCCGCCCCCGGTTGCGCATGCGCCTGCGCCGTAGACACGCCAGGGCGCGTGCGCAGAGCCCGCACCTCGCCGCTGCCCCGCCTTCCAAACAGGGTAGGCGTGGCGAGTTCGGGTCGTGGAAGCTGACTCTCGTGCTTTATCACTCTACGTCAGGTCCACCCCTAGGGGAAGTCTGGCCACAGTTATCACGCGACCTGAAACGAGGAGGCAAAGGCGATCGTAAAGCAAATCTGAATTTAGGATTCAACGTAGATGATGGGCAGACAGCCTAAAGCGGCCGTGCGCAAGCGCAGTCCCTGTCTCGCGATATCCTGCGGTTGCCAAGGTAACCTGCGGCTCGCGGTCTCTGCGCCTGATTGGTTGAGGAGCGACTGGAGCCTTGTTCCCTCTGAGCATCATTCCCCTCTAGTCTCTCGTCGGAGTTTCTACCGTGGGGCGCCTTGGGATCCTCGCCTCCTACCTCTTCTCGTTGGGGGCGCACAAAATCCCAACCCCTGGGCCTTTGTCCCTGTGTCCAGCGAATTCCTGCGGGTTGCCCAGCAACAGGATCATCAAATAAATGGGGGCTAAAGGGTTCGGTAAACCAAGTGCTCGCGGACAATAGGGAATCCCGGGCCCACTGAAAGAGAAGGGGTTTACTTAACTGGTCCGCAGCAGTGTTCCAGAACGTTGGACCTGGGCTGGGAAGGTGGCTCAGTGGTAGAGCGCTTGCCTTGCATGCATGAGGCCCTGGGTTTGATTCCTCAGCACCACATAAGCAAAAAGAAAAAAGCCGGAAGTGGCGCTGTGGTTCAAGTGGTAGAGCACTAGCCTTGAGCTGAAGAGCTAAGGGACAGCGCCCAGACCCAGAGTTCAGGACTATGACCGGACCCCACCCCCCCAAAAAAAAAATAAACCAGAATGTTCGACCAACTGTCTGCTCTAGTTGCCCACCCAAAATGGAGACAAATTTATGAACAGACGCTAGGTAATTGGGGACGATTGGTAAAATACTAGAATCTTAATTTAGAGACTGGAGTTTTTGTTGTTGTTGTTTTAATCTGTTGATCTACACTTAGTAAGAATTTGGAAGACAGAGGGTTGCTTCTGGCGTAGCCTAGGGAACCTCCTCCCTCCACCTTCCCTTCTTTTCCTCCTCCCTCTCTTCCTTCTTTCTTGTTCTGAGGATTGACCTGAGATCCCCAGTCTTGCAAGCAATCGATCCCTTGAGCCATGGTCCGAGTCGTTCTGTTTTTCAGTTTATTTTTGAAATGTGTGTGTATGTGCACACGCGCACACGCATGTTTTCCAATACTGGAGTGTGAAGTCAGGTTGTCTTGCTTCATAAGTATACCTCTACCACTTGCACAGTGCCTCTAGTCTGGCTTTTCGTTGATTAATTGGGATGGAGTCTTCGACACTTTTGCTTGAGCTAGTTTCTAACTTCAGTCCTCAGATCTCAGCCTCCTGAGTAGCTTGGATTAGAGAAGTGAACTGTAGGTGACTAGCTATTCTGGTTATTTTGCTCTTTGCCTGGGCCAGCCTGGAACATGATACACCTATTTATGCTTCCTACTGTAGCTGGGATGACAGGCCTATGTCTTGACCCCCAGCCTTTTCTTTCGAGGTGAGATCTCATGAACACTTTTGTCTAGATTGGCCTGGAAATGCAATCTTCCTTATCTTAGCCTCCCTCATAGCTCAATAACAGGTGCCAATCCTCATGCCTAGCTACTGGTTGAGATAGGGTCTCAAAAACGTTTTGCCTAGGCTGGCCTCAAACTTTGATTATCTTGATCTCAATTCCGAAGTAGCCAGGATCACAGGTGTGAGGTACTGTGCCAGGCTTTTCCCCTGTATTTTCCATTTTCAACACTTACTTGGTACTTAACCACAAAATTAATGAAATAAAAATCGTTACTTTGGGTCAAAGATTATTCCAAAGTTACACAGGAGAAAATACGACGTGATTAAAAAATACAATTAGATAATTAAGAAATAGGTTACAATGAGTGTGAGTGTATATGTAGATTTTTTGGGGGGGGCGGGGAGTTGGTCATGGTGCTTGAGCTCTGGGCCTGGGTACTGTCCCTGAGCTCTTCAGCTTAAGGCAAGCACTCTACCACTTAAGTCACAGTGCCATTTCCAGTTTTCTGGTGGTTAATTGGAGATAGAGTCTCATACACTTTCCTGTCTGGGCTGGCTTTGAACCACAACCCTCAGATCTCAGCCTCTTGAGTGACTAGGATTACAGGCATAAGCCACCGGCACCTGGCTTATATATAGATTTTTGTTTGCTTCAAAATTTCAATCATGTTAACTGAGCATTAGTGGCTCACATCCATAATCCTAGCAATTCAGGAAGCTGAGGTCTGAGCATCACAATTCAAAGCCAGCTTGGGCAGCTGTGAGACTCTTACGTCCAATTAACTACTAAACAAAAAGTAAGAAGTGAAGCTAAGGTTGAAGTGGCACAGCACTAGTCTTCAGCACAAAACCTCAGGGACAGCACCAAGGCCCTCAGTCCAAGATTCACGGCTGGCAAAGGAAAAAAATATGAGTTCCCTATGATAAGCTAAAAATGTCATGTAGTTCCCAAAACAAATACATATTCAAAGCTGGTATGGAGACTCTCATACACACATACATACACACCTGTAAATCCTAGCACTTAGGATACTAAAGCAGGAGGACCCTTAGTTCTAGGCCAGTCTCAGCCTGGACTACATAGGGATTCCAAGACATGAGCTTGGGCAATAGGACAAGATCTTAATTTAGTAAACAAGAAGGATGAAGAGGAAAAGGAGGAGGAGAAGGAGTCATCTAGAGAAATGGGAAGGACATTTCTATTTTTTCCTTTGAAGTTCCAGATTGATAACAGATTATCAGTCTTCCAGTTACATGGCTGGAGCTAGGTTACCCAGTTTGAAATCTTAATTTCATAACTAGCATATGGCCCTAGGTAATTAATTATCCTCTATGAGGTTATAAAAATAGTACCTATTATGGGGATTAGAAGAGCTGATCCATATAAACTGCTTAGCATTTTGCTGGGCCCATTGTAACTGCATAGTAAACTCAGTTGTGACAAATCCAGTGACAGCCATGGCAGAATTAAGTTAATAAAAAAATAAATATAGCTTCTATGATTTTAGGGCTTATGTTCTGTTTTAAGATGATAAAATTCTACAAGAATTTTTGCTAAAAATGAATAACTATATTTGAAAGGTCATTTCTCTCCCATTTGTATTGCATAAACATTTCAACCAAAAAACAAATCCAGCTTTAGCCAGGAGCTAATGGCTCATGCCTGTAATCCTAGCCACTCAGGAGGCTGAGATCAGAGGATTGTAGTTCAAAGCCAACCCTGGGTAGAAAGGTCTGTGACTCTAACAGCCAATAAACTAGTCAGAAAAAGCCAGAAGTGGCGCTGTGGCTCAAGTGGTAGAGTGCTAGCCTTGAGCAAAAGAAGCTCAAGGACAGTGCCCAGGCCCTGAGTTCAAGCTCCAGGACCTGCATAAAATCTGGCTTTTAACTCTTACAAATTTCATATTCCATACTGAATAATCCATTTTACTTTTAGTAATTACTGTTACTTTTTTATTAACAACTTACTTTATCCATTAAAATATCAGGGCTGGTCACCGGTGGCTCATGCCTATAAGCTACTCAGAGGCTAAGATCTAAGAATCTCAGTTTGAAGCCAGTCAGGGCAGACAATTCCATGAAATTGTTATATCCAAATAACCAGCAAAACTTGGAAGTGGAGGCATGGCTCAAGTGGTAGAGTTCAGTCCATGAGGACAAAAAGCTAAATTAGATTATCAGGCTCTGAGTTCAGGCCCCAATACAGGCAAATCAGGTGTTTGAATAACTTACAAACGTTTTGAATAACTTACAAAGGTTTTATTTTTTATAACAAATCTTCAATTTATTTGAAGCAATTTTAAGTTACAGCAATCACAAAAACCAGGGAATAGTCAGAAACGATGAAAGAATGATCAGGAGTACTGAATTTTTTTAATTTGTTTTTAACACTGTCATGACTTTATTCAAAACACAGTTGCACAAAAGTATTCAAAATTTTAAGGAGAGATTCTTGAAGAACTTAACACATTATATACATACTGCCATACAAAGAGCATTAAAACATGACCCAAAACTTCTACAAAATAAAAACCCACCCTTACTTATTTGCATGAAAATACCACCCACAGAGCTAAAGAAGTCTTAAAAGTTATCTTGAAAGGCTCTAAATGTAGTCTTCAAACCAAAGAACTCTAATTTTGACTGCACAATAGATGATTGATAAGTCAATATATAGATTTCATTTTAAAATAAGCATTTTATAATTGGCAGAGCATGTTTTAGGAATGAACACAGGCATTTCAATTGATAAAATTAGGAGAGAAAAATGTTCATCTTTTGGAGATTTCAATCTCTACCGCCAAATTTATCTCAAGTGTTTTATTTCAGTCAGTTGTGCAGCCTTTTTAGTTTGTCACAAACTTCATAAGTATTTTAAAACACTAAATTATATATCTTAAACAAAAAGGGAGTGACAGCAATACTGTACTCAGTGATTTGTGCCTGAGAGAGAAGCAGAGCATCAAATTTGTCAAAGCTGTCTTGAACATGGAGCCTCCATGACCAAAGGGAGATAGACTTGTCTACTGTTTTAGTTAGTAGCCATATAAGAAAGGACACACAACAATCACAAATATTTTTCTGTCTTTAACAGGCAAACAATTTGAAAATAAATCTCAATTTTCCTATCAATTTAGTTTCAAATATTCTTCCAACTGCCTACTATACTCCAGTGGGATACTTGATTATGCTTTAAAACTATAGATAGGAGGGGCTGGGAAGGTGGCTCAGTGGTAGAGCGCTTGCCTTGCATGCCTGAGGCCCTGGGTTCGATTCCTCAGCACCACATAAGCAAAAAGAAAAAAGCCGGAAGTGGCGCTGTGGCTCAAGTGGTAGAGCGCTATCCTTGAGCTGAAGAGCTGAGGGACAGCACCCAGGCCCAGAGTTCAGGCCCCACGACCGGACCAAAAACAACAACAACAAACAACAACTATAGATAGGAAATTAAAAGTTCTACTCAGAAAAGCTATAAATACTTTACAAGGTTAGTTTCCAACTCATTTGGAAAACCCGTTTAAAAAATCCACTGTCTCAAAAGGCTTTATTATATTAATTCTAGAATAGTTCTGTTGTTAAATTTGTATGCTTTGGGGCTGGGAAGGTGGCTCAGTGGTAGAGTGCTTGCCTTGCATTCATGAGGCCCTGCTTTCAATTCCTCAGCACCACATAAACAGTAAAAGCCAGAAGCAGAGCTATGGCTCAAGTGGTAGAGCACTACCCTTGAGGTGAAGAGCTGAGGGGCAGCCCCCAGAGTTCAGGCTCCACAACCAACGAAAAATAAAATAAAAAAATTAAAAATGTATATGCTTTTCCCAACAGTAATGGAAGATTCCAGATAATGAATTCAGGGTGATAAGTTGTGTCAGTAGCTATAAACTTTTAATGAAACAACTGCACATCCAATGAAAAATGCAACAGAAACTGAAATAGAAGAATGTAAAGGAATTGACCATCAGATTATTTCATGTATGTGTGGGTCCTGGGGCTTGAAATCAGGGCCTGGGCACTGTCCCTGACCTTTTATGCTCAAGGCTAGTGCTTTAATGCTTAAGTCATAGCTCCACTTCCAGCTTTTTGGTGGTTAATTAGAGATAAGAGTCTCACAGACTTTCTTGCTATGATCCTCCTGAATAGCTAGGATTACGGTCATGAGCCACTGGCACCTGGCAACCATTAGATCCCCCCTGCCCCCCACCCCCCAGGCCTTCTAACCTTTGCTCTATGTGTGTTCTTGCTATGTAATATATAATGACAATAGTTAAAAACACAGTCTTTTAAATCAGTTACAAGAATAGACTTTAATGATGAGCAGACTTCAGGTCTGTGAATGTGTGGGATTCCTGGGCGTCAAGCAATTTCTGGGTAACAGCATGAAGGGTTGTACCACACACCCATCCATCAGCCAGGAAGGAGGAAAAGAGCTTGATGGGATTTGACTGTTCATAATACTTGCACAATAGCAAACATAAAACTCTCTGTGAACCAAAGGCGGGATAACAGGTGTGGTGAGTGCTTTCTGTGCTCAGCACTCAATGGAATGTCAGCAGCTGGGTCTAGACCCGAACAGTAACCTGTACCCTGAGGTGAACAGGCTGGGAGAGGAGGAAGAGGATGCAGAATGGACAGGTCTCCACTGAACTGGGAAATGGACAATGAAGAAACATGTTGGTGAGTCTTTTAATAATCTGGTTTTTCCATATAGGACAGCAATTTGGAAGAAGAAAGTGCATTAAAAGGAGCTCATTAGAGAACATTCTAGACTAATAGAAAAAGATTGCAGTGTAGCTTTTCTTGTCTTTCATCTCCTTTTAATGTCAGAATGTCTCCTCTCTCAATGGCCACCCCTGGACTAATAGTTCTGCTCTGAGATTCATTTGTCCTGACACACACACACACACACACACTCACACACACACACACTGCCCAGAACATTTCTCTAAGATTTGTTTTTTAATCTTTTAGTTGGAAACAGACTCATTTCACCATAAAAATGTACTTTCTTTTTGTGTTGATATTATTTGGGGTGGTTCATCCGAAATGAGACTCAGGGATGTTCTTACTCCAGCTGGTTTCCAGCTGTGATGTTAGGATCTCAGCCTCCTGAATAAAATATATTTTCAAAGAGGAATAAAAATGAGAGTCAAATGCAAAGGTATCACATTAATTTTTTTTCTTGTTATTGTAAAGTCGGTGTACAGAAGGGGTATAGTTACACATGCCAGGTAAAGAGTACATTTCTTTTTGGATAATGGCACCCCTTTCCTCACTCTCTCCGTTTTTCCCTCCCATCCCACCTACAAGTTACGTAGTTAATTTTCAGCATAGTGTCTAGTGAGTACCATTGCTGCATTTGTTCACCCTTTGTCCCTCCATTTCTGTGCCCCCCGTACCCTCTCAAAGACAGATAAAAGAACAAGACAAAAAGAAAATAAAACAAAAATAACAACAAAGGAAGAAAACTCTATTTCCTGGAGTTCATTTCAGAAAATGTTATTTTTGTTTTTGCCGGTCGTGGGGCTTGAGCTAAATTATTTTATATGATCAGAGGCACATCACATTGTGCTTTTGGTTTCATCATCTAAGAATATCCTTTGGTCTCGCTGTGTGTATGGATGCCTAGAGTCCTGTATAACTTATCATTTTCTTTTTTTAATCAATGTTTGTTTTTCATATTTATCAGTTTATTTCTTTTTGTCAGTTTTAGGACTTGAACGCAGGGCCTGGGCACTGTCCCTGACCTGTTTGGTTCAAAGCTAGCATTCTACCATGTTGAGCCATAGCTCCACTTCTAGTTTTCTGCTGTTTAATTGGACATCCGAGTCTCATGGACTTTCTTGTCCAGGCTGGCTTTGAACCATGATCCTCAGATCTGAGCCTCTTGAGTAGCTAGGCTTACAGACCTGAGCCACCAGCGCCCGATTATCTTAGAGCAATTTAGATCTAGCTTCCTTAGCACGTTTCGGGGGCGGGGCTTCTTCTTTGACGTTGGAATTCACTCTCTTACAGGAGGTTTCTTTTCTCCCAGGCACCTTTCTCCGGAATCGGAAATGGACTCCTCTTAGGATCAGAGGATCATTTTCCCACCGCCCAGGTGGAAGAGAGAGGTTTCCAAGGAGAGGGAATCCCAACTGAAGTCCGGGTCCTGGGGAGACCTGAAAGCAACTCTGGAGAAAAGATAGGACGACGCGCTGGGAGCCAGTGGCTCACACCTGAGATCTCAGGATCAGGGTTCGAAGCCAGCCGGGACAGGTCAAATCCGTGAGACTCTTAAGAGCTGGAATTGAAGCTGTGACTCAAGCGATAGCCTTGAGTGGAAGAAAGTTCAGGGACAGCACCCAGGCCTTGAGTTCAAGTCGGCACACACTAAAAGGAGAAGGCCAGGGGTTGACGAAGAGTCCTCAGTGGTCTTTCCAGCGCCAGCAATGCTGGCCTTAAAGCCGGGGTTTCCCGGACCACCCCCCCCCCCCCCCCGGGCTGGAGCCCCACCCGCCCCGCCCCGCCCCACCAAAAGCCGCCCTTCAACTCCGCCAGCCAATGAGAGCCAGCCTGGCTCGGAGCTCAGCCAATGGGAGCAGCCGGGAGCGTAGAGCTGTCCCCTTAAGGAGCAGCCCGCCGCGGAGTCCCAGCGCTCAGAGCGCGGTGGCTGCCCGGATCCATCACCATGTCTCTGCAGGTAACGGGGACGACCGTGGGGGAGGGATGCTCGGGCCCAGAACCGTGCCCATGGGGCAAGACAGGGCGAGACCACCCCTGGGCAGCTGCTACTAGCCTTCCTCGCCCCCCCCCCGCCAGGAGTCCCCAAAGGCGACCCTAAGGTCAGTCCCACACCTGTCCAGGGGCCCCTTTGATTGCACCGTAGACTGCAAGGTGCCATCTGTTGACAAGCAGCCAGGTCCTCCATGGTAACGCTTCTGGGCCCCAAGGACCGGTTTAAATTACCGAGTGGAAAATCAACCCAGGCAGAGCACAGGGAGCCCAACTCCACCCCGTTCCTTCCATCTCGGGGAGACCACGGCCCCGGTGAAGATCTGACTCTGAAATAACGCTCGATTGACTTGCCCACTGTGGGACCCTTTGGGAAAGAGAACAAACGTGAAGAAATAACCATCAGGAATCCCTTCGCCCTAGCACTAAGCGCTACTATCAGGATAGATGAGTTCCTTGTATTGTTGTCCTGTGCCTCTGGTGCCTCGATTGTGCACGGAATACAGCTGTGATCCTTTTGCAACAGCTTTGTTTCGGTACCTACCTCTATTCTGAACAATTTCTTATCGTTAAACATTCTGCTAAAATATAAATTTTTCAATGTGTAACATGTTCTGGAATGAGCAAACTTAATTTCTTCAAGTAAGATGTTATCTTGTAGAAGACGCTAAAAACATGTATTTCAGAGTTGTGGGAGAGTGATTCATGCCTATAATGTCAGCTACTTGGGAGACAGAGATATGAGGATTGAGATTCAAAGCCAGCCCAGACAGGAAAGTCTGTAAGACTCTTGTCTCCAATCAACCACCAAAAAGCCAGAAGTGAACCTGTAGCTCAAATGGTGGAACACCAACCAGCCTTGAGCAAAATGCACCCAGATCTACACACACACACACACACACACAGAGTTGTGAAAGTTCAATCCTATGCCATACCCCTTCTTAGCCTGTGACATTGTTACTTGAAGAGATGGTGACATGGGCATTTAAAACAGTAGCTGGCATAGAATAAGCTTGTTGAGCATTTAAATATCTTCATATATGTGAGTCAAGTTCAAGTCACTTTGAACTTATTTAAAATCCAAAGACCTGAATAGTTAATTTGTTTGTTTTTGTGCCAGTCCTGGGGCTAGAGAACTCTACTTAAGGCCTGGATGCTGTCTCTAAGCTTCTTTTGCTCAAGGCTAACACTCTACCACTAAGAGCCAGAGTTTCACTTCCAGCTGTTTTGGTAGTTAATTGGAGATAAGAGTCTCAGACTTTCTTGCCCTGGTTGGCTTTGAATCACAATCCTTAGATCTCAGCCTCTTCAGTAGCTAGGATAACAGGTTTTAGCCACTGGCACCTAGCTTTTATTTCTTTATTCTAGAGGAAGTAGACTGGCAGACTCTTCTGGAAGCAACAAAGCAAATGGAATTGCTAATTCAGCTATCATTTCCCAATCTAATATGGAAATTACAATATGTTTGTTTACTTTTGTCAGCAGAGCTTTTAGGAGAAATTGGCAGCCATCCTAACTGGACGTGTTTCCTTCCTATGTGATGCTGCGAAATCACTCAGTGAGGTTAAAATTCCTCAACAAATTAATGAACCCATACCCACCCCACACACATGAAAGTTAGCAACCAGAGACTCGTCCAGCACTTTGTTCAAAGTAAACAGCAATATGTAGTTAAAGCGGTGTCTCACCTGTGTAATACTTCTCTGATCCTCCTAAGACCTACCCACTCATCAATCCATCCAACAAGGACAGGGCTCAGGTCAGGCTCTAGCCACCTACCAGCAGTCTGCCAGGCTTGGCTGGAGGTAGATACAAGGTGAATACTTATGCATGCTCTTAGTTATGAAATATGTGGGGTAATAATCAAAGACAAGCATACCAGCCTGTATGTTGAGTTCTAGTAAACTTCAGCCAGCCTAGAGCAGCTTTTCCTGGCCCTTGTCAGCTGAAGAAAACCAGCACCTGCTCCAGACTTGGCAAAGCACCATCTCACTGCTCCATCTCCTGTCTCCGGAGGCTGAGATCTAAGAATTGTGGTTTGAAGCCCAGGCAAGAAAGCTCATGAGACTCTTATTTCCAAATAAGCACTAAAAAAGCCAAAAGTAGAGTGATGGCTCAAATGGTAGAGTGCTAGCCTTGAGAAAAAAAAATCACGGACAGTACCCAAGCCCTGAGTTCAAGCCCTTGGATGGGTACCAAAAGCAGAGGAGGAGGAAGAGGAGGGGGAGGAGGAGGAAGAGGAGAAGGAGGAGGAGATATTTGCATTCTGTGTGTAATACTAATAATATACCCTCACCCCAAGACTGAGACAAATGAAGCATCTCTTATCTAAAATTCTTGGCATCAAGGTATTTCAGACTTTTGATTTTCTCTCTTCAGACTTTGGAATATTTGCCTGCGCACACAATGGCTTAGGGATGGGCCACAAGCCTAAACGTGGAATCAAATCTGTGTGTGTTACACACGCACCTTATCCACATATAGAGTCCTATAGAATATTGTCCCCACAGGTATACTTTGATGTGATGACAGATGTGGAATGTTCCATTTGTGACATCATGTCAACATTCAAAAAGTTTCCAGTTTGGGAACATTTCAGATGTAGGGATTTTGGGTTTAGGGATGGCTCCGCTCCATCTGCAGTGGCATTTGCTTGCTCGCTTGTGTGCTTTCTCCTCTGAAGCAGCATCTCAGAGGAGACAGGTGCCTGGGGTAGAAGTCCCACAGCAGTGTGCCTCGAAGTTGAATTCAGACCTGAGTGTGTGTGTGTGCGCGCGCGCACGCCCATGCGCATAAAGCCAGTGTTTCCCCTCCTCACCTGCCCCCCCCCCCATAGCAGCGGGTTCAGGTTCATAGTGTATAGAGAGGAAAAGACCTGGGGTTGCAGGAAGGGAAAGAGGGACCAAGGGAGAGGGGTGCTCAGCACTGCTCTGAAATGGGGTTCCCTAAATGGAGGGGGAGGGGGAAGAGGATGCCTGAAATAGCAGGGGAAATGGTGTCAGGGCCTTGTTCTTTTATAGAGGACCACAAGACATTCCCTAGGTGACTTTAGATTTCGTGGTCCTGAAAGTATGAAGAACAGCTTTCCACAAGCTCCTTCCTGAAACACAGGGAGCTTACGTGGCTTTGGAGAAACCTTAGAATGCTAATCAAGGCTTGGCTTTGCCAAAAGAGAGTTGAGCTGGTGTTACTGGAGAATGGTGTGGGACAGGACTCAGCAACCAGAACCCCTGAGATAGGATGTACCCAAACAAGACGATCCTGCCTCTCCTGAGTGGCCCTGCCCTGCCCTGTCCTGGGTAGCACCAACTAGCACTTTCATTTTGTTCTTACTATAGACACACAATACATGCATGTAATAGAAAACTGGGAGAATCTAAAAGTTTTTTTTAAAAGAAAACAGGCAACTTACCAATAATCAGAGGCAATTACGGATGACCTCGTTCAACATATTTATTTCTAGTTTGTATTATTTTTCTGGACAATGTTTAAAATGGAAGGCATAGAAACAATTATAGGGTTTAGTTTTGGTTAAACCATAAATGGAAAGGGTTTTGAACGTCTTGCTTCATTGTACTAAGTTTCTCAGATTTTTCTAGAACTAGTACTCCTCCAAAAAAAGCCTGTGTGTGTGTGTGCGTGTGTGTGTTTGCATGTATATGCGGGTGCATACATAGTACTCGTGCTTGAACTTAGAGCCTGAGCACTGTCCTTTGCCTTTTTTGCTCAAGGTTGGCACTTTAACCACCTGAACCACAGTTCCACTTCTGGCTTCTTTGATGGTTAACAAAGAATTACATGGATTTTTCTGCCTGAGCTGGCTTTGGCCCACAATTCTCAGATCTCAGCCTCCAGAGTAGCTAGAATTTCTAAGAGCCTTATAGCAAAAAAAAAAAGTAGCTAAACTTTATTGAGCAGTTGCCCTATGCCAGGTACTTTATTTGTAAGTACTTTACCTGTATTACCTGCCCTATGCCAGGTACTTCATTTGTAAGTACTTTACCTGGCCCAGATTGGACTCAAATACATCATCCTCCTGCATTTATCTCCCAAGATCTGGGATTACAAGTGTACACCACCAAAGTTTGGCTTAAGTCTCCAGTGTTTTTTTTATAGTGATGGAAAGCCAATTAACACAGTTTTTTGTTTTTGTTTTGTCGGTCATGGGGTTTGAGCTCTGGGTCTGGGTGCTATCCCTCAGCTCTTCAGCTCAAGGTGAGCACTCTACCAATTGAGCCACAGCACCACTTCCGGTTTTCTAGTGGTTTATTGGAGATAAGAGTTTCAAGGACTTTCCTGCTTGGGCTGGCTTTGAACCACAATCCTCAGATCTCAGCCCCTGAGTAGCTAGGATTACAGGAGTAAGCCTGTAACATCAGTTTAACACAGCTTTTCAGTGTTTGCCCACGATAGGGCAGACAGCATTTCCTATTTAGACATATTCGTATACAAAGTTCTGTTAATCAGTTCAAAGGAGATAAACAGCTTCTCATTTGTGGAAATCAGTTAAAGTAAGTCTAACAGGTTTTGGGTTCTGTGCAGAAAGGAATGACAAGCATTCAACTACGTGAGGAATCTTTCTTTGGAAACTAGTTAGTGCTCTAACTAGTGGCTGAGACTGTAGAACATGGGTACACAAGCACTGACGGGCACCAGGGGGTATACCAGGAACCTAGTGTGGTAAAGTCAGCATTTAGGAAGAAGAGGAAGATGGTATTCATCAAAACATCTATCTTGGTCATAAGACCTTTTGAAAAATTAGTAAATTGGAACCTGTTCAATAATAAGAATGTTACTTTGAGCCAGGCACCAGTGGCTTGCATCTGTAATCCTAGCTAGTCAGGAGGCTGAGAGCTAAGGAGGATCATGGTTCAAAGCCAGTTGGAGAGAAAAGCCCATCTCCAAAGTAACTGGTAAGAAACCTGGCTGAGGTTATGACTCAAGTGTAGAGGACCATGTAAGCAAGCAAACCAAGGGAGTGCAAAACCCTGAGTTCCAAACTCAAAGAACTTTGTCAGGTAAGTAACAAGAAATGTACTTAAGAATCCAAATAAATTAGGATAATTATGGGGAAAGCAGACTAGTAATTGTTCAATTCTACTGGCAACATCTCTCTTCTCTGAGTTGCGTGAACAGCTAGAAATCATGATGGGTATACATAACGTTAGCAAATACACTCTGGGCTTCCTTTTGTGTTTGTGTCTTTGTTTCTCGCACTAGGCTGACTTTGACAGGGCCACGGAAGACGTGAGGAAACTGAAAACAAGACCAGAGGATGAAGAACTGAAGGAACTCTATGGGCTTTACAAACAAGCTATCATTGGAGACATTAATATTGGTATCATATCATCACTTTAAGAAACACTCACATGATTGGCTTGACCAATGTTGCTATGTGTGCACAGCACAAAATCCACCTGACCACCTGTCTCTTCTCTTGGCAGCGTGTCCAGTCATGCTAGACTTGAAGGGCAAAGCCAAATGGGAAGCCTGGAGCCTTCAAAAAGGTGCTTAACTCTGAAATCCAGTTCCAAAAGCCCTTCTCAACCTCCCATGGTACAATCAAGGAGATAACCTGTTTGTCTCTTTCCAGGGCTATCCAAGGAAGATGCCATGACTGCCTATGTTTCTAAAGCAAAAGAGCTGATAGAAAAATACGGAATTTAGAATCGAGCATAGGATAAATGTTCACGGTGGTGTCAGAACCTGGCATTTAGGGGGAAATGGGTGGTGAACTCTGTAAATTGGGTGTATCTTTGCTCTTTGTGTGAACTATAATGCTTAGGATTATCTGGAAACTACAGATAGTTAACTGAACTCGACTACTTAAGCCAGGTGATTTTAAAAGTTCTTTTAAAGAGAATTGTTATTCTGGACTATGTAGATAAAAACTTGAACAAAGATGACTTATTTGGCTTATTTGTGCATCTATAATGAGCTAGTGCTATTGAAGCAATAAAAACGGTTTATTAAGATTAATAGGTGCTGGCTAGGTGCCCATGGTTCACGCCTGTAGTCCTAGCTACTCAGGAGGCTGAGTTCTGACGATCACAGTCCAAAGCCAGCCCAGGCAGAAAAGTCCATCAGACTCTTCTTTTTCTTCTTTTTTTTCTTGGTGGCTGTGAGACTTGAACTCAGGGTCTGAGCTCTGTCTCTGAGTGATTGTGCTCAAGCCAGTGCTCTACCACTTTGAGCCATAGCTCCACTTCTGGTTTTTTGGTGGTTAATTGAAGAGTAGAGTCTCATGGACTTTCCTGCCCCAGCTAGCTTTGAACTGTGATTCTCAAATCTCAGCCTCCTGAGTAGTTAGAATTACAGGCGTGAGCCACCAGCGCCCAGCAAGCCCATGAGATTCTCATCTTGAGCAAAAAAACCTCAAGAGACAGTGCCTAGGTCTGAGTTCAAAAGGATTGGCACATACACGCACACACACACACACACACACACACACACACACATTAATGGGATCTGAGTGTAGTGATACATGTCTGTTGTCCCAGCACTCAGGAGGTTGAGATAGGAGGGTCACATTTGAAACCAACCTGGAGTACATAGTGAGACACTGCCTCAGAAAACAAAGGAATCAATAGCAAGATGACGCCTCTGATCACCTTGAAGGGATAGGTATTCCTGATTCCACTTCTTACCCCATGACTTCCTATTAGATGATTTGGGAACATTTCTTTTATTTATTTTTTGATCCGGTTGTGGGGCCTGAACTGTGGGCCTGGGCGCTGTCCCTCAGCTCTTCAGCTCAAGGCTAGCCCTCTACCACTTGAGCCACAGTGCCACTTCCGGCTTTTTTTTCTGCTTATGTGGTGCTGAGGAATCGAACCCAGGGCCTCATGCATGCAAGGCAAGCGCTCTACCACTGAGCCACCTTCCCAGCCCGGGGACATTTCTTAACCTGTTAAGCCTTGTCTGTACTTACTAGTAAAGTGAGTCAGTGTTGTCAAGCCTTACCTGTAGAAGGAAAAAAGTGTTACTTCCACCGAGTTTTTGCAAGGATTACATGCTATAAAAATAAACGAATGCTATATAGCACAAATAAGCTGAACTGGTTTTCTAAGATACCTATGGGACAGTAGTCTGCTTGCCTGGGATGTACAAGGCCCTGAGTTCCATCCTTAGTACCACGATAGAAAGAAAGGAAAGAAAAGAAAAGAAAAGGGAAAAAGGGTAAAGAAAGAATGAAGGAAGAAAAGGAAAGAAAGAAAAAAGAGAAAAAAGAAATGGAAAGACGAAATATGTTTTATCTATGGCTCTTCAAAGAAAGAAAAGCCCACACCAAGAAATAGCTATTTTTTTTTGAAAACTTTTATGTATGAGATAAATAGACCACTAAGATGTAATGCTGGGTTCTGGTGGCTCAAACCTATAATCTTAGCTACTCAGGAGGCTGAGTTCTGAGGATCTCAGTTTGAAGCTAGCTCACACAGAGAAATCCAAGAGGCTCTTACCTCCAATTACCCAGCATAAATCCAGAAATAAGGTATGGCTCAAGTGGTACAGTGCCAGATGTGAGCAAATAAGCTGAAAAAGAATGTGAAGCTCTGGGCTGGGAAGGTGGCTCAGTGGTAGAGCACTTGCCTTGCATGCATGAGGCCCTGGGTTCGATTCCTCAGCACCACATAAGCAGAAAAAAAAGCCAGAAGTGGAGCTGTGGCTCAAGTGGTAGAGTGCTAGCCTTGAGCTGAAGAGCTGAGGGACAGCACCCAGGCCTAGAGTTCAGGCCCCACGACCGGACCTCCCCCTCCCCCCCAAAAAAGAATGTGAAACTCTGAGTTAATGCTTCAGTACCCAGTAACAGTGGGGGGGGGGAAGTTATCAAGTGATAAATTATGCCACTGCTGTGTTCCTGTGTTCATTTGTAGTCTAGGGTATAATACTGCCCACCATTCAGTCTTTTGACAGTTCAAAAGTTCTTTGAAAGAAGATAATCCCATATTAACTACTAAAACCTACTTGAGCGCTGGTGGCTCACACCTGCAATCCTAGCTACTCAGGAAACTGAGATCTGAGGATCACGGTTCAAAGCCAGTCCAGGCAGGAAAGTGCGTGGAGACCCTTATCTCCAATAAGCCACTAGAAAACCGGAAGTGGCACTGTGGCTCAAGTGGTAGAGTGCTTGCCTTGAGCTGAAGAGCTGAGCGACAGTGCCCAGGCCCAGAGTTCAAGCCCTACAACCAAAACAAAAACAAAACCTACTTGAGATCTCAGAATAAAAATCTCTCCCTTCTTTCTTCCCTGCATCTGAGTTCAGGGTTGGTATGGAAGACGGACTTGGCTTTGCTTAAAAGAAAAATAAACTCTACATGCTTAGAAAAAGAATAACAACAACAAAACACCTTCTACGTGTATGAGAAGAATTTCCAGAAAATTATGTGGGGTACAAAAAAACAATCTGAAAATGTTGTGATTCTGTGACTTGGTTTCCCACTGCTGTGACAGAATACCAATGCTAAACAATCTGAGGACAGGCTTGTCTGGGCTGAAAAGTTTGGAATGGTCAGTCTATACTCATGTGATCCTGTTGTCTTCAGACTACAGTGAGGCCGAGAATCATGGACGGAGGATGCTACTCACCTCATTTTAGCCAGGAAAGAAGAGAAAGGAAAGTATGGGCTGTTAATAGCCCCTTCAAGAGCACTCCCTCCCCCACCAATGACCCACTAGGCCACACCTCCCTCCAGTGCCACAGGCTGGAGACAGAAGACTTGAACATATGGTCATAAAAGGACAACTAAGACCCAAAGCATAGCAATGCTATACAATTCGACTTACAGCTCAGTCATGAAATGGCAACACAGGGCTCCACAGGGCTCTCCCCTGTGGTCCTAGAATATTCTGTGTCTTGTCTGTAGCAGTCAATACCTTAGGTGAAATATTACACTATAGTTTGGACAAGGATATAAAGCTATAATGGAGCCAGGCACCAGTGGCTTGTGTCCATGAGCATAGCTACTCAGGAGGCTAAGATCTGGGGATCGCAGTTCAAAGACAGCCCAAACAGGAAAGTTCATAAGACTCTTATCTCCAATAAGTTACCAAAAAAACTAGATGTAGAGGTGTGGCTCCAGTGGTAGAGCACTAGTAGACTTGAGCAGAGACAGCACTCAGGCTTTGAGTTCAAGCCCCAGGACCAGCAACAACAAAAAAAATATACTAGGATCCCTGTATTAATTCTTACAATTGCATGAATCTGTATTTGTGTCAAGTTTAATTAAAAGACAATCAAAGTTGATTTCTTATCAATCAAATCAGTTTTTTAGGAAGCTAGATTCTCTTGGAGCCAAAATAGCTCAGCTGGGAGAGCATTAGCTAGATTCTCATGGTGTGTGTGTGTGTGTGTGTGTGTGTGTGTGTGTGTGTGTGTGTGTGTGTGAGAGATGGTTCTAGGGCTTGAACTCTGGGCCTGGAAAGTGTCTCTAAGCAATCTACGCAGTCTTGCTGAGTCTCTTAGGAGACTCTCATTTGGAAGACTTAAACAACTTTTAAGGTAATAATAATCAGTTTAAATACTTTCATACAAATCCTTCAGAGGAGGCTCAAACTAAAATGTTTACAGAGGCAACATTTAACATAATGTGATTGAGGCATGTGTGTGTGTGTGTGTGTGTGTGTGTGTGTGTGTGTGTGTCCTGGGTCTTGAACTCAGGGTTTTGGTGCTCTCCTTCAGCTTTTTCACTCAAGGCTAGCACTTTACCACTTCTGGCTTTTTGTTGGTTGATTGGAGTTAAGAGTCTCACAGACTTGCCAGGCACTGGTGGCTCACGCCTGTAATCCTAGCTACTCAGGAGGCTGAGATCTGAGGATCACGGTTCAAAGCCATCCCGGGCAGGAAAGCCCGTGAGACTCCTATCTCCAATAAACCACCAGAAAACTGGAAGTGGTGCTGTAGCTCAAGTGGTAGAGCGTTCGCCTTGAGCTGAAGAGCTGAGGGACAGCGCCCAGGCCCAGAGTTCAAGCCCCACGACCCACAAAAAAAAAAAAAAAGAGTCTCACAGACTTTCCTGCCAGTACTGGCTTTGAACTGTAATCCTTAGATCTCAGCCTCCTGAGTAGTCAGAATTACAGGCATGAACCATTGACTTGGTTCAAGGCTATTTCGAAGTCAAGTTTATTATGTGAAGTCTAACTCAAAAAGCCTCCCAATAGTTCATTTTGTATTATTTGTACTTTGTTAAAAAGTGAGATAAATTCTGGAAAATGTCTCTTTATATGCTTTTCTTAATCTTAGCCACTAAGACCCTACATAACGTTACTTTGAGATAGTGACAAAACCAGGAATTGAGGTTTGAGGATTGTACACATATTGATGCTTCAAAAGTTAATGCTTTAATATACAATTCTAAGCAGTGTAGGCTGTAAGGAAGAGACATCAATCACATTAAACGGCGGACTTTATTGTAAAGATCTGTGAGAAAGAAGGAAAATGGTGAAAGTGAATTGCACTAATCAGACACAGGATGGGAATTGACAAGAGTTCGAGGGTCAGACAGCTCTGGTGAACACAGTGGCTCTTTGTTCCCTGCCGCAGGCATCCGGGGAACTCATTGGGAGGTGCTCTGCCATTGTGTTGATCATCCAATCCTCCCTATTCCTGCTTTTCATTTTCTCTTCATTCTTCGTGGTCTATCGCTGCTTTGCTTTCTCCCTACATCAAGTTATTTCAGAGTAAGGCTGAGAGAGTCTTTGCCATATGCTTGACTACTCTCTACCACACAGGCTAGCCTGTACCTCGTTTGTCCTAAGGAGGACTATCATCAATGGAGATGGCACAATATGGAGTCTTGAACTCAGGACCTCACATCCTCCTTCAGTTTTTGTGCTCACAACTAGGGGGTCTGCATCTTTTAATAAAGCATTAATTATATTTTCTTATTAAATGGCACTCTTGTATATTTTTTAAAATTAGGCAAGCTTTAAACCATAGTATATCAGTGAAGCTGTAATTAATAGCAAGCATTCCTCCTGCCAGTCATTTTCACCACTGAAGTAACTGAAGAAGTTGGGGGGAATGGAGTTCAGTGGCAGTGTTTGCCTATCATGCAGAAAGCCCTGGAATTTGATCCCCGGTGCATGCACGTGCACACACACAAACTGAGCCAGGCATTGGTGGCTCATGCTTGTAATCCCAGCCACTCAGGAAGCTGAAATACAAAGCTAGTACAAAGCTAGCCCAGGCAGGGAAGTCTGTGAGACTCTTATCTCCAATTAATCACCAGAAGTGGAGCCATGACTCAAAGTGGTAGAGTGCAAGGTTTGAATGAAAGAACTCAGGGACAGCAAGCAAGCAAGAAAGAAACTTGAAGGAAAAAAATAAATTATCAAGCATGAATTTTGTTGGTAAATGCCTCACAAATGAGAGGGAGATTAGATTCTAATAAAGGACCCTTCCAGAAGTATGCTTTACCTGCCTGTCTGCCCACAGCCCCTGGAATAAAGAAATACATCAGAATGTAACAAATTCCCCCAATAGTAAAAAAAAAATTTACAATCTCTGACTAAAACTAATGAACTACTATTTGAATAACCAAGAAGAGCATTGTATGATCATTTTGTCTGTTACAAAACCAACAGGAAAACTAGCTAAGATTTAAGGATGATAGTTCTAGACACTTTGTTATACATTTATGGATAAAGCCTTCATTAGCAGGATCCACAAGATGGAAATGATCTCCAGGCAAGACATAAAGGTCGAAGTTTCCACTGGTAACATCTTTCCAGGCTAAAAATGAAGATTTTTATTTAATAACAAATATCATTTATGAAGTACAACTCAAGATTGACTTGATCATTACTAGATCATTCAGAGCTGATACTTAGAGCATGTATTACCTCCAAGGTCTCAGGTTCTGTATCCTATATTTTTTAATTTCTCTAAGATCTATAAGTATACAGAACTATTTCCCAGATCCTTTTGTGTCAGATGAAACCAACAGCAATTCATTTATACTACATAAAACCTGGACTCCATTATCCCCTTATTGGTAGTGAGTCCTAGTGGACATTTGCTACAAACCATCAAACACATAGTTCATCAAAACAAACTATAAAAATGATTTTACCTTCCATATCTTTGGATATGTCATTGGATCCAATAAAACAGGTAAAATCACAGGACTGTGTCTTCACAGAGGATGTATCCACACTGTAAATATAAAGGGTCATTTTTGTGATTTTTCACACAAAATCCCAGCATCCTTTCATGTTATAACATCAGTGAAAGGAAACACAGGATGGCCTCACCACGCCCCCTTTGACTGGTTCCAGAAACACATTTTTGTTTTCTTTTTGTTTTGTCCGTCACAGGGCTTGCACTCTGTGCCAGAGCACTGTCCCTGAGCTCTTCAGCTCAAAGAGAATGCTCTACCACTTGAGCCACAATGCCACTTCCAGTTTTCTGGTGGTTAGTTGGAGATAAGAGTATCACCGTGATCCTCAGGTCTCAGCCTCCTGAGTAGCTAGAATTATAGGCGTGAGCCACCAGTGCCCAGACAAATTCTTTTTTTTAAAAACCCATCGCTACTTCTCCCTATCAGAATTTTGCTCACTTGTGATTGAGGCTATTTCCCAACATTGTATAAGTTCTAGAATGCATGGGGAACAAGAAGATGGCAGTCAAGCTTGTTGTAAGTAGTATTTTTAGTTTTTTTCTTTACCCCAGAAAGGATCTCCTAGCTCAGAATCCAGTTAGGAGAAACACAGTGACCTGAGAGCACTGGACAAGAAGTGGGAGGGGAAATGGTCAAGGTTATGAGATTTACACAAAAATTGGTAGCTTACTATTTGCAATTCCTTTAGGAAGATGAGTGCACATTGGTATTAATTAACTTAATAAATAAAACTGTGATAAATCATCTATCTATATTTATGTGTATATCTCTCAAAATATGTGCAAGTCATGTTCAGTTTGTTGGGGTTTTTTTGGTTAGTCCTGGGGCTTGAACTCAGGGCCTGGGTGCTGTTCTTGAGCCTCTTTGGGCTCAAAGCTAGTGCTCTACCACTTGAGCCACAGCACCATTCTGGCCTTTTCTGAGTAGTTTATTGGAGATAAGAGTCTCACAGACTTTTTTCTGCCCAGGCTGTGTGCTCGTCATCATTTATCAATACAGTCTGTGCTCAAGCTCCACAGTAGTTTAGTATGAATATCACAGCCTCAAAGGAAATGAAATCCAAGAATATTATGTTCTTAGACAGGTAGCCTCTGTGAACTCTCAATATACATCTCAATACACATCGCACAAACAAAACCTGTCTCTGTTACTGTACTTACTTGCTATTTTTAAGATTGTTTACGTCTGCCCGTATCATGGGCAACCATTGGTCCATAAGGTCTTTGTTATCAATGATATGGTTGGGGGTGCCTCCAAGCTCCAGAAGATGATGTTTAATTTGTTCTTCTGACAATTGGTTCGTGTGGAGAAATTGATCCTGCCAGTAGCTTGACTGGAAACATTAACAAACAGATCTGATATTTCAGTAAACACCCTCAGTCTTCAACTTAAAGCAGTCAGAGAGAGCAAGAAAAAATGGCATTGGTGGCTCATGTCTGTCATCCTAGCTACTCAGAAACTGAGATCTGAGGATCATGGTTCAAAGCCAGCCCAGAGAGAAAAGTTCATGAGAGTCTTATCTCCAATGAAAAATGTTGGAAGTGGAGATGTGGCTCAGTAGTAGAGCACCAGCCCCAAGCAAAAAAGCTAAAGGACACTGTTTAGGCCCTAAGTTCAAGACCTAGTATCAGAAAAAAGAGGAGGAGGAGGAGGAGGAGGAGAGCGAGGGAAGAGGAGGAGGAAGAGAAAGAATATCAGAGATCACAGAGTGAGCTGGGTTAGAAAGTTGGAGTAATTCCATGAGCTGGGCACAGGTGGCTCATATCTATAATCCTAGTTACGAGGCTTGCAGTTTGAAGCCAGCCCAGGAAGGAAAGTCCATGATACTCATCTCCAATTAATTACTAAAAGAGCCAGAAATGGAGCTGTGGCTCAAGTGGTAGTGTGCTAGCCTTGAAAGAAGGGGAAAAAAAGGTTCAGGGACAGCAACCACACACACACACACACACACACACACACACACACACACACGGTTTCAAAAGTTTGATATCACTATTTCCTTTGGAAATTTTAAGGATTCTTTTCCTGGCTCTGGTTGTGTAAAGGAACTAACACATATGTTCACAGGTGTGGTTTTAGCTCAGAAACTAACCAAGATGCTTTCTAGTTACACAAGTTTTTTTTAAAGACATTATTTGTTGTATTCTTTCTTGGTCTTCTGTCTCTTTCATGCCCCATTTCCCCATGTGAGGACTCAGGCAAGGTCATCATGTTCCTCCCCTTATCTCATTGACTTCAGGAGGGATGGAACAGTCAAGAGAGCAAGGAATATAGCACTGGAAACTAACACTTGCACATTGGTAAATAAGTAGACCCAAGGCCACCATTCAGCCTGGAGTCAAGCTTCTGCCTGCCTGCCTGCCTGCCTGCCTACCCCCCTCCCTCCCTCCCTCCCACCCTCCCTCCCTCCCTTCCTTCCTTCCTTCCTTCCTTCCTTCCTTCCTTCCCTCCTTCCTTCCTTCTTCCTTCCCTCCTTCCTTTCCTTCTTTCTCCTCTTATTTTATTTCCTTTTATTTTATTTATATTATTATTATTATCTTTAAGTAGTTGTACAAAGAAGTTCCCATTCTACAAAACAGTACGTGAATACAAATTGTCTGACAACATGTCACCCATGGCTCCTAATCCATCCCTTCTCTCACTTTTCTTTTCTTTCTGTCTTTTTAAAATTGAGATGAAGCAATCACATAAATTTCACAGATTTCACAGTATTATGGAATAGTAATACTTAGTTAAAGTCACAAACACAGTTTAATCTTCACAAGGCAAATTGTCATTATCAAGCTCTATAAAGTTTGTGAATTCTATGAGCTTTGACAATACAATTATTTCTTCCACATCAGTGATGTTTACATTTCTTTCCTTTTATTTAGTATAAGCTGTTCCCTCTTTCCCTCTCATTCCTCCACTTCCTTCCTTCCTTTTTTCCTCCCTCCCTCCCTCTCTTCCTTCCTTCCTTCCTTCTTCTCTCTCTCTTTCTCTCTCTTTTTCTTTCTCTCTTTCTCTTTTTCTTTTCTTTCTTGCCTGTCTTTGGGCTTGAACTCAGGGCCTGGAAATCATCTTTGAGCTTCTTTTGCTCAAGGCTGGCACTCTACCACTTGAGCCACACACCACTCCTGGCTGTGGTATTGAGGTACCAAACTCGGGGCTTCATGCATGCTAAGCAAGCAGTCTACCACTAAACTCACCCACAAGTTGTATAGTTCATTGCCAACATAATGTCTTGTGAGTGTCACTGATGCATTTGCACTTCCAAATTTTTGTTGGTTTACTGAACATAAGAGTGTCACGGATTTTCCTGACTAGGTTGGCTTTGAATGGCTATCCTTAAATCTCAGTCTCCTGAGTAGCTAGAATTATAGGCATAAGCCACCAACACCTAGCTTCTAATTTTTATTTCACCATTTCCCTCACCCTCACTCCCCTCTCCTGAAAAAAAAAAGGAATGACTTACATGGAAAGGAGTTGCACTTGACAAGAACATATGCACTGGTTCTACATTGTATTTTTCTTTTAAGCGCAGTGCACACAAAACAGCTACACTGGATCCAAAACTAAAAGAGGGAAAGACAATCACAATGATATCTGTTCAGCAAGAACAGGCATGACCCACTGGTGCCCGGCATCCAGTTATCTTTTTTTGGGGGAGGGTGGTCCGGTCGTGAAGCCTGAACTCTGGGCCTGGGCACTGTCCCTCAGCTCTTCAGCTCAAGGCTAGCACTCTACCACTTGAGCCACAGCACCACTTCCGGTTTTTTTCTTTTTGCTTATGTGGTGTTAAGGAATTGAACCCAGGGCCTCATGTATGCAAGGCAAGCGCTCTACCACTGAGTCACCTTCCCAGCTCCATCCAGTTATCTTTTAAAACAAAATATAAATACCTGTGGCCAAAAAATGCAAATGATTTATCATGAATGATTGGCAGCAGAGCGTCAATAATTTCATCCACTTGCTGGTGTATGTCACTGGCAAATTGCTCATCAAGACGACTTTCTCTTCCAGCAAATCTTACAGCATGCACTGGAGATTCAGAAACACATTTACACAGGCAGATAATGAATAAGATACTGAGGATCTTTTTTTTCTTTCCCTTCAGTCGTGGGGTCGTGGGGCCTGAACTCTAGGCCTGGGCGCTGTCCCTCAGCTCTTCAGCTCAAGGCTAGTGCTCTACCACTTGAGCCACAGTGCCACTTCCAGCTTTTTTCTGCTTATGTGGTGCTGAGGAATCGAACCCAGGGCCTCATGCATGCAAAGCAAGTGTTCTACCACTGAGCTACCTTCCTAGCCCCCACTCTTTTATTTCTTTTTTGTCAGTCATGGGGCTTGAACTCTGAGCCTGAATGCTGTCCCTTAGCTCCTCAGCTCAAGGCTAATGTTCTACCAGTTGAGCCACAGCACTACATCTGGTTTTCTGAGAGGTTTATTGGAGGTAAGAGTCTCATGGACTTTCCTGCCTGGGCTGGCTTTGAACCTCAATCCTCAGATCTCAGCCTCCTGAGTAGCTAGGATTACAGGTATGAGCCACCAACGCCCAGCTTTGAGGATCTTTTAAAAGGACTTATATTAATATTAACATAATATGAATGTTTTCAAAGAATTAAATAATAAGTACAGGTGAGGTAAACATTATTTTAGCACTGAGGACCAAACTCGGCCTTGCACTTGCCTGAGGAAAATCCCCAATTGAGCTAAATCCATTCAGTTAAATCCCCAACCCCAAGGTAAATATTTTAGATTGGGTTGGGTGGGCAGAGGGGGAGGGCAGTCCTGGGACTTAAATTCAGGGCCCGGGTGCTGTCCCAGAGTTTTTTTATGTTCAAGGCTAGTGCTCTACCAATTGAGCTACAGCTCCACTTTCAGACTTTACTGCCCAAGCTGGCTTCAAACCCTGATCCTCAGAGCTCAGCTTCCTGAATAGTTAGAATTACAGGCTTGGGCAACCAGCATCCAGCAACATTGTAGAATTTGTTGATAAGAAAACCAATAGAGCTGGGCACTGGTGGCTCACACCTGTGATCCCAGTTACTCAGGAGGCTGAGATCTGAGAATCACTGCTCAAAGCCAGCCCAAGCAGGAATGTCCGTGAGACTCTTATCTTCAATTAACCACCAGAAAAATGGAAGTGGTGCTGTGGTTCAAGTGGAAGAGCACTTCCTTAAGCTGAAGAGCTGAGGGACAGCATTCAGGCCCAGAGTTCAAGCCCCATGACCAACGAAAAAGCAATAAAACTGGGCACTGGTAGCTCATTCCTGTAATCCTAGCTACCCAGGAGGCTGAAAATTACAGGGGTTCTATATACAAATGAAGCAGCTACCTTGGCAACCGTTGCCTATTTCAGAAAAATAAGACATTAAGTTTCAAGAGTGACCAAGAGAGTGAGGAAAAGGCTTTAGAATGTGTTAAATTTGAGAGCTACAACTGAGTCCATTTATGTGAAACAAAGAAGATTCAAGCTCTAAAATCCTTATGAAAAAGTAGACTAGGAAAAATAAATATATCCTCCATAGTAATGGGAAAGAACAAGAACTTTTTGGGTTTTCCTAGACTCTGGATGGGGTCATGTTGGGAAAGTCCAATTTTAATTTTAATTTTTTTGGCTGGTACTAAAGTTTGAACTAAAGGTCTCACATTTGTTTGGCTTCCTTGCTTAGCTGACACTGAACCACTGACCTCTGCCTCCAGTCTGGCTTTTTGCTTGTTGATTCTTTTGGAGATGGAGTTTCATGGACTTTGCCTGGGCTGGGCATATATGAGATACTGGTGCCCACCTGCCTTTCAATTCTTATGTCAAAGTCTCGTGTTTAGGCAAATTTGAAATTTATTTATATTACTTTGGCAGTCTAAGGAAGGTGAAGCTAATAAAAATAACTCAAAATGAGCCTGAGTCGGTACCGTCCCAGGCTGTATCAGTTACGAAGCAATGACGTCATCTCCTGTTAAATGTCTTTCCAGAATCAAGAACCAAGCTGACCATAAATAACAGATTGCTAGAGTGAAACCTAACACACTTCAAAGGAACACATCCCTCCCCAAGCAATGTAAAATTCATGATGTCTAGCATCTAATCAACACTCACTAGACGTGTCACAAATCTGGCAAACCTGGCGCATAACTTCTTATACTTCTTACATTCAGAATGTTCTGATTCTGCCATAAAGAAAGATGGCATTTTGTCATTCACAGGAAAATAGATGGAACAGAGATCATTGTATTAAGTGAAATAAGCCAGACTCAAAAAGACAAATATCACATGTTCTCTCTCATCTGTGAAGTTTAGGTGTAGTGAGGAAGACACCAAAGTAAAAGGGGGACTTTTAGGGATGTGGAAAGTGAAGGAGGGAGAGAGGAATAAGAAAAGCCAGTGGGGGGAGGGGAGATATGATCCAAGTACATTATATGTATGCATGGAAATGTCATATTAATAAAACCTAGTTGAATAAAAATAAAGCCTTTTTGTAAAATAAAACATTGAAATGAAAATATGAAGAGAAAACCCCTGAAGAAACTTTTTTTTCAGCAGTAAGGCTTGAGCTCAGAGCCTGGGCACTGTCCCTAAGCTTTTTTTTGTGGGGGGGGGTCCGGTCGTGGAGCCTGAACTCTGGGCCTGGGCGCTGTCCCTCAGCTCTTCAGCTCAAGGCTAGCGCTCTACCACTTGAGCCACAGTGCCACTTCCAGCTTTTTTCTTTTTGCTTATGTGGTGCTGAGGAATCGAACCCAGGGCCTCATGCATGCAAGGCAAACGCTCTACCACTGAGCCATCTTCCCAGCCCTACTCCTTACCACTTTGAACCACAGTGCCAGTTCCGATTTTCCAGGGGTTAATTGGACCTTAGAGTCTCATGGACTTTCCTGCCCAAGGCTGGCTTTGAACAATGATCCTCAGATCTTAGCCTCCTGAGTAGGTAGGATTATAGGTATGAGCCCACTGGTGCCCGGCGAGAAGCTTTTTCTTTAGTTTTGCAATACTTTAAGATAACAATTCAGGTGTTACAACTCAAGAAATTGAAGAAAAAAGGTTCTAAAAAGGTAGTCATAGGTTCTAATATAAACATAGAGAGAAAGGAGCTTAAAAACTTGAACATCTCAGAAGAAGGAGGCAGAAAGTTTTTGAAGACAAAATGATGGAGAAATGTTTCCAAATTTAGAAAGAATGATAAATCTACAAATCTAAGAAATTCAATAAACTCAAATTCCTTTACATGCTTGTCATCTGAATTTTTAAATTGCTTAAATGATGATTTAAAAAAAGGGTAACAGGTCTGAGAATGTGGCTTAGTGGTAGAGTGCTTGCATAGCATGCATCAAGCCCTGGGTTCGATTCCTTAGTACCACATATACAGAAAAAGCTGGAAGTGGTGCTGTGGCTCATGTAGTAGAGTGCTAGCTTTGAGCACAAAGAAGCTTAGGAACAGTGCACAAACCCTGAGTTCAAGTCCCAGGACTGGCAAAAAATAAAAAAGTAACATACCTTCCAATAGATCAGACATCTTTTGGCCCCATCTGGCAAAATGATTAGAGCCACCTCCTGCCCAGGGAAAGCAAATCAGCTTAAAAATTGCATTAGGCCTTTGAATTAAGCAGTTCAAAACTTTTTCATTCCTAGGAAGAAAATACAAGTGTGTTTAAGATTCAAATATACATATTAAGTCAATACTCAATATCAAATTAAGTGGTTTTGTTTTTTGTATTTGCCAGGCCTGGCACTTGAACTCCGGGCCTGGGTGCTGTCTCTGAGCAACCTTTTCTGCTCAAGGCTAGTGCTCTAACACTTGAACCACAGCTCTACTTTGAGCTTTTTCTGTGATCAATTGGAGATAAGAGTCTCTAAGACTTTCCTGCTCCTTCTGAAATCCTCAGATTTCAGCCTCTTGAGTAACAAGGATTACAGGCATGAGCCACTGTTGCCTGGCTCAGTTGTCCTTAAATGGAAATCTTAAAAACAATTGTGCCTGTACTGGGGCTTGAACTTAGGGCCTCAAGGTCTTACTTGGCTTTTATGCTCAAAGTGCCAGCTTTGAGTTACATCTCCACTTTTGGCTTTTTGGTGTTTAATTGGAGACAAGATTCTCATGGACTTTTTGCCCAGGTTGGCTTCGAATCCTGAGATCTCAGCCACCTGAGTAGCTAGGATTACAGTAGCAACTGGTATCAGCTTCCTTTTTTTATTTTTTATTGAAGTAATAGGATTCTATGACTTTAGAGTTGACCAGAGAATTTAACATAGAATATATAATATTAATATAGATACTAATGTAGAACAATATAGATCTAGATAGTCATATAGAATAATAATGAGATTCCAGGCTACAGAAACAAGGAGATCTAAGTTCAAATCTTCAAATACATCCCTTAACATGAAACATCAGTCAATATAAATTGAACAGAATTCTGGAGTCTTCCTTACAAGTTAGTTCGGATGATAAAGGGTATCAAAAATAAGCCAGGCACCAAATGACTAAACCTGTAATCCTAGCTACTCAGGAGGCTGGGATCTGAAAATTGCAGTTCAAAGCCAGCCAGGGCAGAAAAGTCTCTGTGAGACTTTTATCTCCAATTAACCCCTTAAAAACTGGAAGTGGAGCTGTGGCTCAAAATGGTAGAGCACTAGCCTTGAACCAAAGAATGCAGGGACAGAGCCCAGACTCTGGGTTCAAGCCCTATGACCAACCACACAACAACAAAAAGTATCAAAAATGTTCACCATGGTTCAGGCAACGAAAGAAAACTGAAGCTCAGAGACATTCAGTCACCCAACAGGCAGAACACAAATACTGGCGATTTTTTTTATGAGCTCCTTTCCTACTTATCCCTCACTCCCACTATTCTCAGGATCAAACTAGAATTAGGCTATTAAGTGGTTGGACATGGAGGCCATAATTGGAAAGCTTTGGATTAGAGTCCAAACAGGAACCTACTCTCTTGTTTTAGTGTCCGAATTGAACCTTGCCTTCCCCCTTTAAAGACAGTAATGGATGATTTCACTTTACAAACACCATCAAGTCATTCTCATTTTGCAGTGTCTAGCTATTTATAATACATTGCACTAATGGCAATGACCACCCATATAGGCTTCTGTGAAAAACATCTTTCCATCTGATAGGGCAATTGTACACAGGCAGGGTACTGGACTTTCTAGAATGTAGGAAAGAGATTGGTGACAGGAGACATGGCTTACCTGGTTCTCCCAGCTTGGTCTTTTCTCTCCATGCTGTAAGAAATGTTGCCAAAGTGTTAGTATTAGAAACTTGTTGAGTCAATGTTAAATTAAATTCTTATTTGGATAATATGCTCCAATTAACTTTGCATTCACAGAGGAGTGACTATATTTCTTTTAGATTGGGTGACTAGGTCAACTGGTCTGTCTTGTGCTTTTACAAAGAGAAAGAAGGAAAAGGAGAAGAGGAAAAAAGAGGAAAAGATGTAGGCAGGAGAAGAAGGAGAATAGAGACAATATAACTGGTGTAATGAAGGTAAGGAGTGATGGTCTTGTATTAGTTCATATTAGATAAGTGGTCAGATCACTCTACTCACAAGACTTTTAGGTAAGGTGCACAAATGGAATTTAGGTAGTGTGCAACTTTTTGTAAACATTTGCAACTGAATAGATGCTGCTGCTCAACAAACAAATTATCTGTTAGAAAACTGGAGCTGGAGGATACTTTTTTTTTTTTTTGTCAGTCGTGGGGCTTGAACTCTGAGCCTGAGTGCTGTCCCTTAGCTCTACAGCTCAAGGTGAACACTCTACCACTTGAGCTACAGTTCCACTTCCCATTTTCTGGTGGTTTATTGGAGATAAGAGTTTCACAGACTTTCCTGCCCCTTTGAACCGCTATCCTCAGATCTCAGCCTCCAGAATAGCTAGGATTACAGGCATGTGCCACCAGTGCCCAGCAGGATACTTATTTTTAAAATAGAAATCTTAGTTTTCGGGGCTGGGAAGGTGGCTCAGTGGTAGAGCGCTTGCCTTGCATGCATGAGGCCCTGGGTTCAATTCCTCAGCACCACATAAGCAAAAAGAAAAAAGCCAGAAGTGGCGTTGTGGCTCAAGTGGTAGAGCGTTAGCCTTGAGCTAAAGAGCTGAGGGACAGCGCCCAGGCCCAGAATTCAGCCCCCATGACTGACAAAAAAAAAAAAAAGGATGTAAAAGGCACAAAGATTTTTTACTGCTGGGAGCCAGTGGCTCACGTCTGTAATCCTAGCTACTCAGGAGATTGAGATCTGAGGAATTGTGGTTCAAAGCCATCCTGGGCAGGAAAGACCATGAGACTCTTATCTCCAATAAACCACCAGAAAAACGGAAGTGGTGTTGTGGCTCAAGTGTTAGGGCGCTAGCATTGAGCTGAAGAGCTCAGGGACAGCATTCAGGCCCAGAGTTCAAGCCCCGTAACTGACAAAAAAAAAAAGATACTTTGAATGTCTTGTAATTATTTTAAGGCCACAGTTTACTGTATCAGTTGTGAATCTCAGAGTTCTTTCTTGGAGCCCAAGCCATGCTCCAGGCTATACTTTCTACAGAGCAGAAAGACTTGCATTTGTTCCCTGGAACCTCACCAGTACACCACCAGTGGCTTAGAGCCCTCATTAATTCTCAGTATGTTCATTTGTGCTAACTCACTTGGTGTTCACTGAATCCGTGAGGAAGTGTCTTTTCTTCTAGGTGATAGATTTAATGCAGAAACTGACAGCCTTGGCAGACAGTGCGCACAGAAGGCAAGCTCAAGCAGGGTGGTCTAGGAGACTCTGCTCTTGACTCTCTTAATATATCCCATGAATTTGCTATGTGAGTCACTTCTGGTCACTGTGATAAGTAGACAAGGAAAACAAACTGAAGGAGGAAGGCTTATTCTGGTTCCTGGTTTTAATACACGGAAATTGGTTCCATATTTCTGGCCTATGGGAAAGCAGTGCTTGATGGTAGAAGGCTATGATGGAGTAGTTATTCACCTCATGGCAGCTAGGAAATAGTATAGAGAAGGGGAAGGTGGCAAGAGTCATCTTTCTAGCTGGGCACTGATGACTCATGCCTGAAATCTTAGCTACTCAGGAGGCTGAGATCTGAGGATCACGATTCAAAAACAGCCCAGGCTCGAAAGTCTGTGAGACTCTTGTCTCCAATAAACTACTAGAGAAACAGGAAGTGGTGCTGTGACTCAAAGTAGAGTGCTAGCCTCCAGCAAAAGAGCTCAGGGACAGCGCCCAGGCCCTGCGTTCAAACCCTATAAAAAAAAATCATCTTTCCAATCTATTCTACAACTTTATACCTTGCCTCTTATTGTTAACACCTCTTTTTTTTTTTTTTTTTTTTTTGCCTGTTGTGGGGCCTGAACTCTGGGCCTGGGTGCTGTCCATCAGCTCTTCAGCTCAAGGCTAGCACTCTACCACTTGAGCCACAGCGTCACTTCCGGCTTTTTCTGCTTATGTGGTGCTGAGGAATCGAACCCAAGGCCTCATGCATGCAAGGCAAGCGCTCTACCACTGAGCCACCTTTCCAGCCCTGTTAACACCTCTTAATAGGACTATTTTACTATAAATACGATCAAGGAATTAATTGGTTATTTAGAGTTTTTGGTCTCCAATCACTTCCCCAAAAAACCATCATCTGGAGGTCAAGACCTCAATTCACAAGTTTGTGGAGAGACAACTCATATTCAAACCTTAACACATACTAAGGAAGAGGTACTAGGAATGAAAAGGAAGAGCTGGTTTCCATGGCTACTTTCCACCATGGACTCAATAGAATTTGTAATTTATCCTAACTGAAAAGTGTGGGGAGAGGAGAGAGAAAGATTATTTCTACTCTTCTGGGTTAGGTTTCCAGGTACACATGGGTGTCATTCGCTGAAAGACAAGAGAAAGGACAGATTTAAAGAAAGGCTTTGAGTATGTACAGGCTGCCTCAATAAAGATTCCTAGGAAGTTCTGGGCTTTTGAGTCTGGAGAGCAGAAATAGATTTTGGGACCGTCTATGTCTACAAGAGGCAGAAGACAAGGGATGACATAGAAATGTTTCTGATAAAATTGAGTAGTAAATTCCACTATTGTTATATTTATGCCCACTGCTATTTCAGAGTTTGGGAGTCTGACCACTTATGGTAGGAGGGCACTCTGAAAATCAGCTGGCAGTGGCGGTATGGCTCAAGTGGTAGCCTTGAGCTGAAGAGCTGAGGGATAGCATCCAGGCCCAGAGTTCAGGCCTCATGACTAACCAAGCAAGCAAGCAAGCAACCAACAAACAAACAAAACTTTTGTTGTTAATCCAATGGGCTCCTTTCCCAGAGCTTAGCATTCTCCTTTCCCAGGATCTGGTAGGCCCCTTCCCAGAGTTCGTCACTAGGCCCATTTGGTACAGGCAGTAAAAAAATCGGCCTCCCTTCCTCTTACCTTGAGATGACACTCCATTGGGTCAGTTACAACCATAAAAGGTAACAGGACTCCCTTAAAGTGATCTTCAGTCTGGACAGCTGCAGGCACCTTATCTATTACTTGGGCAGCTGCCATGAATCCTAGGCCATTTGCCCACACATCCACACCAAAGCCCTACCTCCTAGCCCCACAGGTTATATAAGCTGGTGCTTCTTCTCCTGTGAGAAGTGGCCTTGTCAGTTGTTTTGCTGGCAATAAACCTTTCTTTGTTCTACATGCCTGTGTGTCTGTGTGTCCATGTGGTTTTCTGAGAGGTCCCAATACATGTCATTTTCAGGACAATGGATACAATTAAATGTCGTCATATGGAGCGAAACAAGCCAAATTCAAAAGGCAAACTGTTGTGGAAGCTATATTGAAAAGACATATATTTTCTTTCCATGGATATACACATATGTGTATATGCATATCCATATATACAATTATTTCTATGGTTAAACATAGGACATAAATCAAACTAAGGGAATACTGAGGAGAAGAAGGGAAGAAGAAACAAGGGTGACTAGCTTTGTAATTTATTACAAGTATATGTGAGAACACAGAGAAACTCAATGAAAGCTGTTGGTTTTTAGGAGAATGATGGGGGTGGGGGAATGGTGGGTAGCAACTTCAAAGGGTTGGGCTGATAGGGAAGGAAGAAGGAGGTCAAATACTGTTAACATAGATTATTTGTAACTATGAAAATGGAACAAGGAAACCTATTGGGGATTTTTTTGTTGTGAGGACAGGGAGGGGAAACGAACTGGAATACAGTGTTAACATGGGGGGACATATAAGAAGTCTCCACTTCTGTTCCAGAGGCCTGCCTCTGACCAGTTTAGCTAAACTCAATGTCTTCTTTTTTGGTTCCATCTGCAAATTCACATGTATACATTCAAACCCCACACAGGGTCTGCAGGGTGTACACCCGTAGCCTCTGCAACAAGACACAATCCCAGGCAGTGGACCAGATCTTTATTTCAAAAGTTACTGACTGCACAATCCTACAGGGAGATATTTTAAAAACCCCACTTTTCTAGGAGCTATGATTTCAGTCAACCTGTAAGAATGTTTGCAGGAGTTTGGGCTCACTATGGTACTAGTGTTTAAAGCTCTAAAAACCTAAAAGGTCATCATTCTCCTGCAGGCATTTCGCCGTAGAGTTTCAACACACTCTGTCTTCTCTTCAAAAAAAAATTTTTTTGGGGGGGGGGGTCCAGTCGTGGGGCCTGAACTCTGGGCCTGGGCACTGTCCCTCAGTTCTTCACCTCAAGGCTAGCACTCTACCACTTGAGCCACAGCGCCACTTCCGGCTTTTTTTTTTCCTTTTTTTGCTTATGTGGTGCCAGGGCCTCAGGCGTGCAAGGCAAGCGCTCTACCACTGAGCCACCTTCCCAGCCCATCTTCAAAAGTTTTTTAATAAAAATATCTCCCGCCACTCCTTACCTAAGACTCTTAACACCATATGGTTCATCAGGCAGAATTCCAAGCCTTCCGGGCTTTGCCTTGCCCATCTAGAGGTCGACACTCACCTGTGCATATTTCTGAGCCAAAGTTGCTGACAAATTCACAAAAGTGAAGAGCACAGCTTCTGGTGCCCAGGTTGAGATTACACCTTGGTTGGGTCAAAAGAATCTAAATCACGCAGTGTCTATGATTAAGGCGCTTTGCATTTACCTGGTCTTCTAATTTCCTTGTTTATGACTCCAGATCGCTCCTTGCAGCCAGCGTGTGATTTCCATCTACTGATCAGGGATTCAGGTCTTCTTTCACCGGTCTCTCTGACTTGGGGATCTACATAAACA